TCGGTTCATTCGAATCTTGCTCGTTTTCTTCGCATTCAGAAACTGGTTCGTTAATCTCATGCTTTGAGCACAGCTCTTTGATAAGGTTCTAAAGTAMARTAMAGACACACTGAGTAAATCTATGGGTYCTTTTAGCTATGAAAATGGTCTACCAGGAACCGATGGGCWTTATGGGAATGTTCYAAAGTCAAGAGGTTACCTTGCAAGTTGTTATTTCAGCATTGAGCAGAGTGTACAGAAGATCATTCCTGGTATATCTGAGAATAACGAGTTCACGTCAGATACGATTTCTATTACTATTCAGCTATGAAAGTTAGCGAAGAGGTAAAAATATTACCTTTCAACGTTGCGCTCTAATTCTTTGAGTACTTGTGCAGCTGAATTAACTAMTTGGATAGCTGTGGAGATTTTCAGCCGTAAACATAATTGTTAGACTTCGATGTATTTTAATAGCGCTATTTTCATCGCTATCATCTACATCACTTGACAATACCATTAACAATGAAGATACAAACAAGAAAAATCTAGCCCTGTCCTCCAAAGGCGAACCTGTTACGTGTCACGGGCTTTCTGTTTTGTGATCTTTATAAAGGAAACCCGAATATGAAAGTTGGCTTTGAAGGTGGCAAGGGTTGGCAACATAATCAGAAATTTACCTGACTTAAATTCTTCTTCCTTTAGATTGTCTGATATATTTTTAAAATCCTTTTCAACGTTCTTCAGTAATTCAGTGTCACTGTCCAAATCTTGAAGAACAGTTTCCAACTTTTTCTGGTTTTCTATTCCTTCGATGTTCAAGGCTTCACTTTCTTCCTTGAGTCTCTTTGCTTCTTTGAAATTTCTTTCTGAAATGTTTGTAAAAAATATTTTCAGGGGCGTATCCAGGATTCGTTATTGGGGGAGAGAGGGGAAGGGTTTCTTTGTGCGCTTTCCAATTGTCAGAACTGGCTGGCCAGCCCAGAGAAAATGTCATTATATATCATTCCCATTTAGTTAGGAAATTCAAATTTTCAATTTCTATCCATTATTCTACAGAAATACTCGAAATGACTGAAAAATGTTGACAAAAAGCATTATATACCTCTAAATAGAGTGGACTGGCCGGCCAGTTCTGCCTAAATGGAAAGCACCCTTACATACAAAATCCTCACTATGACGTAATATGTTATCAATATGACGTCATAGCAACGCTAACGAATCATGGAGAAACACTTGAAAAAACGAGAAAATTTCCATTTACCTTTCTTTGCGATGTCTTTGGCCTCGTTTCTGTCTGAAATCTGGGCTTCAATTTCAGATAGACTTTTCCTAAGTGACGCGGCTGTTCTATTTGATAGATTAATTTTGGCATGCAGTGTCTTTATCTGTTGATGCGACCGCTGGGCAGATGACTTTAATCTAACATTAAAGGGCGCAATTAAAAACTTGACCAATTTAAAAGAACACCCAATAAAGCAGATTGGCAAAAGAAAACAACAACAACAAAACAAGCAAAAAATGTTTAACGTAATCTGCAGGGAATGCGCGCGTCACTTGTTCGCATGTTGAGTACGACGTATATCTTTTAAAAACTTATGAAAAKCCAAATGTTTTAACCGGACAGGTMCAGGTAACCATTTAAATGTTAGGACTCAGACACATAATTTTTTGACATCAATTCTTTGAGATATGAGCTACAATGACATACTTATCCAGACTTGGGTCAGCATTTAAGGAAAGATGCTTTAAACACTGGAAATCTTCTAGTTCTCCACGTCTCTCCTCCAGATGCTCGATCATTGCATTGTTTCTTTCAACGGCTGACTGGAGACGGTCGAGAAACTCTGAAAGCCTGGAAATTGCCATTACAAATATATATAGCATACATATGAGTTCGTAAAAAAGAGAAAGAAAGAAAAAAGAGAAGAAAAGAAAAAAAGAGCAGCGCAACAACAACGCCAATGAAATTTGTTTCAATTTTCTAGGAGTTGCATAAAAGCTAAGTTACATGGTTTTACCTTAGTTTCCTACGATTCCACTCATCAATTACATTATTGTAAGCCTCTTGACTCGAGGCTAGAGCTTCCTGTAATCAAAAGTCAAAGATTGTTTTGATTAAACAAAAACGTCTGTCGCCAATTCGGCAAGGAAAAGCACTGCATGGATGTGGAAAAATAGTAAAAATCGCAGCAAGGTTGCAACTTTCCGCAGAGGAAGTCGTACGACAAGACGGAAAGCAACTTTCAAGTCTTGTACAATTTGTCATATCTTATCGGGCGAGATATAGAAAATTGATGGCTAGCAGTCAAGTTGCGAGTATTCTAAATCATTTATACCTGTTGATCATCAAGAAGCCTTTCCTGATATTCTAGGTCTTTCCTTTGGACATCAAGAGCGTTTCTTTGTGGCAAGAACTCTTCTAAAATCTCTGCTATCTTGATTTCTTCCCCATTGATATCGTCTCTATACTTAGATTCTTTTAACCTTAGCTGTTTTAATCTTTCTTCCAAATCTGAAATTTCTTGCTAAAGGATTATTGCACCAATAAGAATATGCCCATATGATAGATGATAAATTTGACGTCAATATAGATAAGAAGAACAAGAACAATAAACGACACAAAGAACAAGGTGAATACAGGGAATAAGAAAAAAACGACGGACAAGACGGACAAGAAAAACAGGTTTTATGGCAAGACGAAGAAGACAAAGAACAAGAACAAGAGARAATGCAAAGAACAAGAACTTCAAGCAGGAGAAAATATGTAGTCAAGTTTCACTATTACCTTGATCAGCTGGTGCTCTTTCATTAACTCTTTCTTGCGAGCTACAAATTTTGCTGTTCTTTCATTAATTTCTTCCTCAAGTGCGTCATCTTCTTTCTTAAGATGTTCACTATCGAGTGAAAGATGAGCACGAGTTCGYTCAATTCGCTGTTTTTCTAGATTTAAATGTTGTTTTTCTTTGGATATTTTAGAGCCATTTTCTTCATTATGATAATCTAAAATKGCAACTTGTTCTTCTCGTAATTCTTGTAAGCTACTTTCTGCTTCACRGTGAATTGACAGTGTTCTTGCAGCAAGCTCAGATGAGAGTTTTAATGTTTCCTGAACCTGAACAAAAATTATAAGATGTCAATAAGGGCAARCAACTTAAAACCGTGCACAATTAGATAAATTATTCCAACTTTATTCTTAAAGTACGAAYTGTAGATAGACAAAAACCGGAGTTACGCGTACACATGCACATTAAACCGAYAAGCATAGTGGCTTACCCTATTCGAGGGAATAGYCACAAAACKTATGTCGTATGGTTGGAAAAAACGACTTAAACAAACGAAAACTTTTTCATCYCCTCTTTATTCTGTAYAAATTATGTCTTTGTAAAATCAATGTGMAGTCAATTACCAATTCAATTACCTTGATATCACAAACCGGAGCTTTGTACTTAATCTTTTCCAAATCTTCTTTAGCTTGTTGAATTTTGACAGCAAGTTCCTCKGCYAAGTCATAATTATCTTCAGCAATAGCMGTTGATTCTTCTTTAATATGATTTTCCAATTCATTTTGTTTGTTCAAGTATAGAGTTTCTACATTGGAGTAATTTTCTATCAAATGTGCTTTAAGGTTGGCCAAACACWCTTCATCTTCTCTGAAACATTAATGGAAAGAATTGCCATAATTAGGAGATGTATACTAGCTAGTCTTATAATAATTTTATTCATTAGCTTCTTCTACGTGTCTTGAGTGTCTATGCTTTGCTCTGTTAYTGCTTTTTTGGTAGAAAYTKGGCAGTAAAAAGGCAGGAATACCTGAACTTGAATGGTTGTAGCTTGACTATATCACATAAGACGTTTTTTCTTCCTTACTACTTTTAATTATTTTCACCACTTTTCCTTCACCATTCAAAATAATTATAAAATATAGACTGTATTCCTTTGCCTTTTTCCTTTTTAAGTCATTCTCATTACTTTTTCCTCTCCTTTCATTGCATTCACTTGCCTTAGTCTAAAGTACTTACTTTAAATTTGAAATTTGAAACTGGATATCTTGTTCCATTATAGTAAGTTTATCCTCAGCATCAACACTAAATTCATACATCTTTTCTTTATGACTTTCTTTATCATCATTTCCCATAGTCTTACTGTCTTCTTTCACAGATTTTTYTTCTATATCAAATTTTTCTTTATCATCTGTACTTGTCTTACTGATTGTTTGTGATTCAAGATCTACATGTATATCATCTTCACTTTGACAACTTTCATCTTCACTCTCATTGTTATCCTTGTTCTCTTTGTCAAGATCTTGCTGACTTTCAAGTCTATAGTTGTCACTTTTGCTGTCTGCATCTATTGGTTCTTCCCACAAAGTAAAACCAGTAGTTAATAGAAATGTCTAGCAACATAAACATTTGSTTTCATCAAAGTTACCTATGCTTTCAAYRMCTTCTTCTTGTGGTTCTGYGATATCACCTCCACTTAGATTTTCTTCAGAGGATGTTGGGGTTCCAATAGAATAGAGCTGTTGGCACTCACTTCTGTTAGTTTCTATTTCTAAACAAAGAATGATAATATTGTGAAAACTCTTTTTACAGTTTCCATTGTCACCTGAAAAGCCATGCCTTTCAATTGAAGTGAAAAACAAGTCAAGCTTAAAGTGATACTCTAGACACCTTTAAATAAATTAATTTTTCAGCACCTTGCAGAATATTCTTACTTACAAGAATCTATTATGACAAGGTCAACTACTGTTTCACTGATATGCAAAGGTGCGGCTAAAAATGGTTGATGTAGAAAGGAATGAATCAATAATTCTTACTATCTATAATTCACCTTTTTTAAAAGATTCACTATCATCAATGCCCCCACCAAAATCATCAACATCTGATTTCATGATCTGAGCACTACCCTCAGCAGTATTTGCTTGATTGGTACTTGTTTGTCCTCCAATTTCAATGGTTTTACCACACTCTGCTGGTGTCTGTTCAAGTGAATGGAGGTTTGTCTCTTGCTTAGTTTCTGTTTCCTGAGATACACAGTCCTGGTTCTTTAGGGTTTCATATGTTTCTTGATTTGATGGCTTTGATATCATGCTTCCCTTTTTCTCAGAACTATAAGGACAATTGAACTCAAAAAATTTGGTAATTGAAATGGCTAATGACAAAAAATCTGTGATATAACTATGTACAATGTATCATTAGACAATACTCAATTTTATTGTGCCCTGTGCCATCTTGAAAGGTAACCCAGTCTGTACATTAAACTAAAACATGGTTGAGCTTACAATGGTAGATACCTGTGAATAAATGCCTTAGGTATATGCATGAATAAAAGGTGTAACAGCTTCTTCAATCACTGTTTTGCTTTGAAGTAAAGTTTACAGCTATCTTGATGGCGCTGGGCATGAATCACTGAATCTCAACATGCCTTTACCTGCTGGTAGATTTTAAATCTCTTGCATATCCTGGTTGTTTAGCTTGTGTTTTCTTTTTCTTTTTTCCCAGTTGAATTGCACCTCCTATATTTTGATTTCTTGTTGCTTTGCTATCCAACTGTATTTCTTCATGAATGTTAATGAAATCTATATCTTTATCTTGAGATTGTGTGAAGTCTAAATTTAACTTAGAACCTGACATGCAAAACATAGAGCAAAAACATCTTTTAACAGTTTCATGTTTTATTCACTTTTTTGTTTTTATTTTCCATCCATTCCACTACTAATTTAATTTTTGCACTCATTGTTCTTTTACCCACTTATTCACTAAGATTTCCATTTATAATTCTGACTTTTAGTATGGGAAGTTTTCCTAAACAATATTTACTTCTAACTGTAACATGCACCATTTTGATTCCCAAAAAATTGCATGCAGARCTGAAATACATTARSWTCAATTTTCCTTACTTGCAAATGRTTCATGGAAATCWAGTCCTGCTTCAGCTAGTTCTTTTGAAGATGATTTTGGCTGCTCAGTTTGATGTGATTGTTCTTTCATTTGAGCATTACTTTCAAAGTTAAAAGTCATACCACTAAATAACGACAATCCTTCGCTGTCAGGCAAG